AGGACACGAAAGAGCTGACTTGCTGGCTACAAAAGCAGCGCCGGGGTATTTTTTTTTTTGACAAGCAACTAAGTAGCCGGTAAATATTTGAAACAATGGATCATGCTATTATTAATGCCCTCTGTAAAATGGGAAGGGTCGATGCCTTTGGGGACAAAATCCACATCACTCGCTAGAATAATAGACTTCGGAGTTAGGGTCGGCATAGAAAAAAAAACAACATTAGGCACATCAGTGGACTTAGTAATCAACATAGAAATTGTACTATTAACCACCTGAAACTGGAGTTCATGCTGAGGGGAGGATCTGAGCACGTAAGTACTTACCCGGAGTGTAATGATAATAACCAAGCTAACTAACTTGAATCTATAGAAACAGTTTACTAAAGGCTGACTGGCACTCGTGTAAAGAGGCATCGATATGAGAACACACTAGATAACATACAATCAAAAACTTTAGTTACTGTTCCAGGATGAAGAGCAAGTGTACTTTTGATCAGCTGCAAACCTTTCTTTTCTCTACTTCAGTATATGAGTTTGAATCAAAACACATTAATTGTTTTTGTAAAATTTGACAAGGAAAAAACTCTGAAGACCCTTCACAAACAAATGTCTATAGAAAATACGATGTTACATGAAACGTCATGTAGAAAGTTACGTAAAAATGAAAATAAATGTGATGATCAGGAATTAATGAAAACTATCTTCACAGCACTTGGGACATATTCAAAGGTACTCCTATCTCTTCATCAAAAGCTCTAGACATTATCTGTTAAGACAGAAGACTTGTGCGCATAGTGAAATGTTCATTTCTTGCAGCTCCCGATTGCATCCGCATGTCGATCAGCCTGCAATATACATTCATGCATTTTGCTGTATTCGTACAAGTGCAGCTCACTTAGTCCATTTATATTTCTAAATCACCAATAGGGCGTGGTGATTTCAGTCACGGGCATTAGAACAACTTGAGTCCGTTGTATGATCTATAGAGGAGTTCTTCAAGCCCCAATACGAGTGTCAGCATTCTCTGTGCTGATTTTACGGCTTGTCAAAGTCTTGTGTGTCTATGAGTTGTCAGAGTATAATAATGTTGAATAGGTAGGCTAGCACGTCAGGGTCTAGTGTTTCTATGAGATGTTGGAGTATGATAATGTTGAATACGAGGGATAGCACGTTAGTGTCTGGGTTTCTATGAAATGTCGGAGTGTGATAATGTTGAACACGCGGGCTAGCACGTCAGGGTCTGGTGTTTCTATGAGATGTCAGAGTACATTAATGTTGAATACGCGGGCTAGCATGTCAGTGTCTGGTGTTTCTATGAGATGTCAGAATACATTAATGTTGAATACGCTGGCTAGCAATTAGGTGACCGGGTGCAGACTGTGTGTTTGATAGCCCAAAGGAATCTTGACTAAGACTGGCGAGGGATAATCACTCACGAATCCACGAGATTCTCATGGACTGGGCATGTGTTAGCGAGAGGTAGGTTATTGTATTTAAATATACTATTTGGCTATGTGGTAGCAAGGTAGTTCGCGAAGGGTTTTTCTGGTGAAGTGACCTGGTCTGTCCACGCACACTGGCTAGAGCCGTGCAGTAGCACCGCAGCCGCAATGTAAGGTACAGAAGCTTCGGAAAGAGCTTGAAAGGAAGACTGTTGGTTCGAATCCTAGTCACAGCCGTAATGTCGGTACAGAACTGTATGAACATGTAGGTGAGGGGGTTGTTAGCGCGCACCACCTTCTCCTAGGCGAACTACCGTATTGCTTGTTGTGAATTACTTTAAAGAATCATGTGAATGCTCGGAGGGTATTTCGTTTAGTTGCATTTTAGGGATGTACACTACTGTCACCAGCCATTCGCCTTGACGGCAGTAAAGCCACTTCTTGACACGGCTTCTCACACAATATTCAATCCTCACGTCGACCTCGTGTACCATGGATAATGACCCATTTTAACTAAAAAAGACAAGACAGCGGATCACAGAGCTGATGACCCCCATAGGCGCAGTCCGGACAGCCTCTGGCACTCATCAGACCACTCCCAATCCCACTCCAGGGGTGAAAACGTCGACAGAAAACTTATTGAACACTGAGCAAAGTTCATAAACCGAACCTTTTATTAAATGACAAAGGTCATTTACGAGCCCTATTAAATGGTAACAATATGTTGAGATAGACTGGATCCTATAACCCTTCGAAGTCCGAATGCATTTGGCACATAGGCAAGGAAACTTGAGACGTGCACAGTTTTATCAATCGGCAATCGGATGCACACGCAAAACTCAGGTTCTGACAAAGTCCAGAAATGACCGACAAACCAACGGTTCTCGTCCAAGTTTATTGACTGTTTAAAAAAAAAACAATCATTCAGTAATATAAAACCCATGGCTTGTGTTCTGGCCCAGCTCCTCTGTAGAGTCTACGGCGGACACCTGGTGGAGATTCAAACAAAGAAAGAGAATACTTACCTCATCAGAGAATTCAGGAAAAGGGGATGTAAGTAATGTTTGTCCATTTATCGTAACTTTCTGTTCTACCTGGTGACATAGACGGTCATGTGACGCACCTGTGTCCTTAGTATTCTAGAACAAAACCGTTTTATAATTGTCCTCCATACGATAAGAAATCTTTATGGGAAAATGTCTACACTTCTGTTAGTAAAGGATTCGTTTAACAAGCGCGCAAGTCTGTTTCTGTGTGCAGTTTTTAGAGAGGATGCCATCCCCAATGACTGCGACAGTCTGCGTTTGCCAACCTACAGAGGGATAACACCACTTCCTTTCCATAAAAGGATATCTGTACTCACACAAGTATACCACAAATACATGGATATATCAACATAGAGGTGTACGAAATGTGGGCATGTGCAAGACCAAAGGGGTGTGGGCTGTCATGCGACCCTACAGTCGTCATAGCAGGAAGATTTGGTCCTACAGTAGTTATGGCTTGGAGATTTTGCTATGGCTTGGATGTTTTCTCTTAAGCTGCAGTCGCTGTTACTTGGAGTTTTTTAAAATATCCTACACTCGCTATAGTTTGGAGTTTAAAAAAAATCTTATCTGACACTCTATTTTTTTGGGAGTTTTTCTTATCCGACACTCGCTATGGCTTGGAGCATTTATTTTATCTACACTTGCTATGGCTTGGAGTTTTTATCTTATCCTACACTCGCAAAGGCTTTGAGTTTTTATGTTATCCTACACTCGCTATAGCATGGAGTTTTTATCTTATCCTATAGTAGCGATAGCATGGAGTTTTTATCTTATCCTACAACAGCGATAGCGTGGAGTTTTTATCTTATCCTACAGTAGCGATGGCATAGAGTTTTTTTTAATCTTATCCTACAGTAGCGATGGCATGGAGTTTTTATCTTATCCTACAGTAGCGATGGCATGGAGTTTTTATCTTATCCTACAGTAGCGATGGTATAGAGTTTTTATCCTACACTGCAGTCGCTATATCCACTGCCTCTATTGCTGACTGGTCTATAAATATACATATCTAGAATCATTTGTATGATATCCAATTGGCTTTAAAATTGTTGTCGTTTTATTCTCTATTAAACCACTCCATGTATTGGTTCCCGGGTTGATCAAGCATAAATTGGTCTTGGGAAGTAAAGGCAGCTGGTTGATGTTAACCCGATCCTCAGCCTATAAAACATGTGAATCTATAACGATGCGCCACTGGTGGAAAAATTGTGTTTCATTTATGTCACTTTATTCTGTGTATGCTTGACCTTTGTCCACTTCACAGACGATATAGTTTGGCTAGGAGGGTCTGACCAGTTCAGTGAAGGGGTCTGGTACTGGGTAGCCAGTCGGAGTGAGGTCGGTCCGTTCACCAACTGGAATAAACCACAGCCTGACAATCACAATCAAAGTAAGGAATTATAGAAATGTGAGCACACACAAACACAGAGAGAGAGAAAGAGAGAGAGAGAGAGAGAGAGAGAGAGAGAGAGAGAGAGAGAGAGAGAGAGAGAGAGCGACAGAAAGAGAGAGAGAGAGAGAGAGAAAGAACAAAACAGGTCCCCCCAGAGCAATAACAGCAGTCCCTGTTTTTGTTTTAGCATATTTCCTCCTTGACGCTCTAATGAGAGCGTCCAAACGTGCTATGACTTCATGCTGCTTTTCTCCTGTTGCGCCTTTAAATCGTTTTCGTGGAGTTTGAAAAACAGTTTGACCGCTTGTTACACGTACCTTGATTGGATTGCTTCGTTTGCTATTCGAAAGCCATGTATTCGACGCCTTGCGACGTTCCGGCCTTTAATCCTCTCTATATAGGAAGATCTCAGCGAATAAATAAGAGATATGTCTATTAACCTGGTATCATTGAAACGACACAAGAAGCAGAAAAATGGCCTAGGAAAAACTAGAATCAACTGTTATAAGACGGAGAAGACGGCGGGCGCTATATCGGACATATTCTCAGGAAAGGCATACAGAGAACATCGATTGAGGAACCCCCCCCCCCACCCCCCCCCCCGTGTGACACCACTGCCTACCCAAAAGCATGTCTTAAGAGTCGACTAATTGGGAGCTTCCTTCGAAGTCGGAGTGCCTCTGCCTGAGAGGCAAGGAACCAGCAGACTGCATACAGATCTGCCAAACGGATGCACACGCAACACTCAGGTTCTGGAACAAGACTGCAGTCCAGAAGTGGACGAACAACCAGAACTTTCCACCGGAGTTCACAGCCAGTGAACGCGAAGAAGAAGAAGATTGAGGAAACGAGGATGTCCAAAGGAAACCCCATGGCGAACGTTGACGAGAGAAGCCAAGGCTGCTGAACTAGATTTAATTAGTGGTATCGAAATGATGTCGAAAGTGACCTGAGTGCAGCATCTTTGACATGGACACCTGCACCGAAGATTGCACCGGACAGGAAAGCATGGAAAGTCTTCTCTGAAGCCTCATGTGCTACTAGGCATAACGAGAACTGATGATGATGATGATCGAAATGATGTCACGGTATGGGAAGAAATGGTAAAATAAGATGTGAGCTTTCTGGGATACATAATGGCACAATTGAAAAATGAATTCGTGGTTGAATTAATTAGTTAATTAATTAATGGATGAATACAATAAGTAGGGCGAATTAAAGATACGATCAAGATAGACAGGCTAATCTCCAGAAAGATATAAAATTATGTGCAAGGGGAGCATACATGATTAGAATAATGAAGTGGATTAGCAGGAACGGGACGCCATAGATCATGTTTCATGAAAACAAGGTGGGGTGACAAAAAAAGCAAGAGGGGGGGGGGGGGATAAATGTAGATAAATGAGAGAATGACTATAGGTACATTAAGAGATGAACATCTGAGAAGAAGCACGTTACGTACAGGCAGTAGCAATAATGATGGCGAAATTCTATGCTCTAAATGTGGAAGCCATTTCGTAACTCGATGGGGTCTTGCTAGTCACACTCGGCATCGAGATATATATTTCTCTTTAGCACAATATAACACTTTCGTCGGATAGAGGAACGGTGCCAATAATAGTGATAGCACAGAGCTCCTTCCAACATTACTAGACGTACTGACTGTGAGGTTCTCTGTGACAACAGGTTTGGATCGTGCTCAGACCATAAGCGTTGCCAGCAACAAATCTTTGTGGTAGGAAAGTGTATAATAATTTTTCGGGGTTGAAAGGGGTAGGGGGGGGGGGTTGGGGGTGGAGAGTGGGGGAGCCTAAGTGGGATTAAAAATTGTGTATTCGTGCAATAATAATAAAATACTACTAATAATATGTTTTTGAACATAATATGTTTTAGCACTAATCCGAACAACGATAGCAAATTATCAAGATTAAAAACAGGCCCTAACAGGGCCTTAATGATATGTAAAACTAGGATTCATTTCCAGCAAATATGGCAGACAGGATATCCGCTCCGACACAGATTAGCAATAACGTTCTAGCGATTGATGAACCGCCATCGGTAAATGTTAGATCTGCCAACTTAAATGTATTAGTGAATATTAAACTACAGTGGATGCATTGGCTTGCTACACACAGATTAATACGAAACACAGAGGAAGGCACTTTTCAGAATAGTAAGTAAGTAAAGTAAAGATCCCTTATTACGCCTAAGGCGCATCGGGTATACGGGCAGAGCGTCCCATATTTTTACAGACCAATCGGCACTGGATGGGTAATGTAGTCAACATTACGCCGGCCGTCTTTACTTCCCCGGGACAGCCATCCTGATACCCATTTGAGGCTGGGTCGACCTGCAACGTCCCATACCACGATAAAAATCCACGTAGCCCGCAGTGGGTTTCGATCGCGGTACGTTGGATTACGAGTCTGATTCGCAACGCCTTAGCCACGGACGCCGCTACTTTTCAGAATAACGGCCCCAAATTATCGAGGTTAACAGCATGTCCCCAGGTTTCACTACCATAGGCTCAAACCGGTGACTTCATCATTATCAAGCGCCTTGCTGGCTGGCATAGGCGATTATGCCTCTCCACCACAATCTGCTGACAGCTGCGTCTGCGTGTATCAGTTCGTGTGTTGACACCCCTTCATGCCATGACAAACTCGCGCTGTCTTTCCCTGTCTTTCTTTCCACAGATCTTTCCAGACAAGCATAAACAGTGGTAAATCCATGTTTGGGGAATACTGGTTTTTAAAAAAAAAATTTATTACAAGACGAAAATAAATACACAGATTAACAAAAGAAGAGGGAAGTCCAAGTAAAGCTGCGTCGATGAATATGAAATAAGATTCCAATAAAAGATTTTCACTTAATATCTAAAATGTTTTTATTAGGAAAATAAATTACTTTAACGACTATCAGAGATACGAATATAGAGAGGGGGGGGGGGGGGCGACGAGGAAAGAGAGAAATAAAAAGGCACAGATATATATATATATATATATATATATATATATATATATATATATATATATACAAAGGAAGAGAGAATGATATTCAGAGATAAAAAAGGAAGCGGGAGAGAGAGAGAGTGTGAGAGAGAGAGAGAGAGAGAGAGAGAGAGAGAGAGAGCGAGATATCAAGAGAGACAGAGAGTAATGGTAGGAACAGATATAGGTAAATTGATGAAAAAAATAAAGAGGAGAAACAGAGCGAGAGAGAGAGTGTGTGTATGTGAGAGAGAGAGAGATAGAGATCAAAAGAGAGAGAGAGAGAGAGAGAGAGAGAGACATAGCAAGACATAGAGAGAAATGGGGAACAGATATAAGTACATAGATTTTAAAAAAAATTAGAGAGGAGAGACAGAGCGAGAGAGAGAGAGTGTGTGTGTGTGTGAGAGAGAGAGAGAGAGAGAGAGTGTGTGTGTGTGTGTGTGTCTGCTTGATCCAGAAAGAGCGTAGTATACTTGTATCGAAGGTTGCTTGTATGTGTGTCACTTTGTGTTCTCATCCTCCTATTTCAGGTGAGCACTGTATGGAGGCAGCTAGAAACCGCCTCTACAGATGGAACGATAATACATGTGTAACAAAACAATACATTGTTTGTGAGAGACAGTAAGTAGCATTCACACAGGCACACATCAATTTAGGATACTGCTAATTTCACTTGAGCTAAAAACACAGCTAAAGTTGTCGCTACATTTGTCTCGTAGTCGGCGAGGAGCCCAACTGGGGGGGGGGGGGAATGGGCGGGGGGGGGGAGACCCATTTCCCCTCACAATATAACAAAAAAGTTGACAATAGGACGTTTTCTAATTCCTGCTGTTGCATTTTCCATTTTTTCCTGACCCAACATTATGTATATTACTCGTGTAATAACTTCTTTGTATAAGCTTTAAATTTTCTCTTTCCTTACACAAGATTTGACGTTTTTTTTAGCCCATCTTTGATATCGCAGTTTATTTGTACTGTTTTCTTGTAAAGCTCAACATAGCGTACCAACAATCAAGAGGAAGAAGAAGGGGTAGCAGTAGTCGTAGTAGTAGTCGTAGTAGCAGTAGTATAAAAAGAAGTATAGTAGTAGAACTAGTAGTAGTGGTAGTAGTAGTGGTGGTAGTGGTAGCAGTAGTAGTAGTGATAACAGTAGTAGTATATTAGTAGTAGCAGCAGCAGTAGTGGTGGTGGTGGTGGTAGTAGTAGTAGTAGTAGTAGAAGTAGACTAGAAACAGAAAAAGCAGAAGAAGAAGCAGAAGAAGACGAAGAAGAAATAAAGAAAAAAGCTACTGAGGGTGTTTTTGTTAATTAGTTTTGTGAGTAGTATCTAGTGAGCAACATCCTGCTGAAAATGTCTCCCCTTTTCGCCACATCTACTATATATACTACTATATTAAAGAAGAGCTGCTGATTTATAGCGGCGTCCGTGACTTAGGCATTTCGAGTCCGACTCGTAATTCCAATGTTCCCCGATCAAAACCCGACCAAAACCCACTGCTGGCTGTGTGGATTTTTATCATGGTATTTGGCGTCGCAGGCTGACCCAGCCTAGAATGGATGTATGTCCTGGGGAAGTAAAGACGACCGGCGTAGTGCTGACCACATTAACCACCTAGTGCCGACTGGTCTGAAAATATGGGTGCTCTTCCTTTAAGCCCGAAAGCGTGAAAAGGGATCTTTACTTTTTTTTTTTTTTTTTTTACTTATTGAATTACATATTATAAATTTAGTGGCTGCACTAACTAAATTCTATATTGTGGTATGTGTGGCGCCAGACGTCATCAATGTAGGTGTAACACTCTTCTTCGGCTCACTCACCCAAAACAGTTTTCACTTCCTTGACCTAATGGATTTCTTCTCTACACCTCACTGCGGGTAACATGTATCAGTCTAACCTCATACATCAGTCTTTCCTCTAAATTTTTAATTATTTAACTATACAAGGTTTTTGCACCGTATACCCTGTGTGTTGTCCATCAAGATGATGATGACCACTCATTTTCATCAAGTATGAGTACGAAGATGACTGATGAGGCCGATGCGGGCCCGAAAAGTTCTTGGACAGTGAAGACAGGGAATGAGCGTTGTGCCAGGGAGAGGATTTCCTGCAGTCGCCTTTCTGTCATTCCTTTTCTTAATAAGTCTTGCTGGTCTGTTTGCTTTACATGTAGCCGCGCCCTTGTGTAGAGCTGCACGCCATACATTTCGGTCTTGAGAGGCAGCCTCCCAATTGGTGTCATTCATACCAAATGCTTTAAGTGAAGACTTCAAGGTGTCCTTAAAGCGTTTCTTTTGCCCACCTTGGGAACGTTTCCCATTTTGCAGCTCACCATAGAAGAGTTTTTTTTGGGGGGAGCCTTTGATCTGGCATGCGTGCCACATGACCAGCCCAACGAATCTGATACTGCATCAGTAGAGTGTGGATGTTGGGCATGGCTGCTTTCTCAAGGCCTACGGTATCAGGTACTTTGTCTTGTATACCCTATAAACCTACATTCAACCACTATGTCTACTTATGGGTTACAGACATCCAGATCACCAGAGTACAAGAGAGTAAAGAATCAAGACAAGAAAGTTTCAAGACAAGGCAAGAAAAGACGTGGAGTAAAATGTGAAAAAAGGGGTGTGGGGGGAGCAGAGGGGGAGTTTGTCCTACGTAGAAATGTACGTATGCCATGATGTCAAACTGTCCGGCATCTTCACTCTCAGCTATGCCATGATGTCAAACTGTCCAGCATCCCCTCTCTCAGCTATGCCATGATGTCAAACTGTCCGGCATCTTCTCTCTCAGCTATGCCATGATGTCAAACTGTCCGGCATCTTCTCTCTCAGCTATGCCATGATGTCAAACTGTCCAGCATCTTCTCTCTCAGCTATGCCATGATGTCAAACTGTCCAGCATCTTCTCTCTCTTAGCTATGCGATGATGTCAAACTGTCCAGCATCTTCACTCTCAGCTATGCTTTGATGTCAAACTGTCCGGCATCTTCACTCTCAGCTATGCTATGATGTCAAACTGTCCGGCATCTTCACTCTCAGCTATGCCAAGATGTCAAACTGTCCAACATCTTCTCTCTCAGCTATGTTATGATGTCAAACTGTCCAACATCTTCTCTCTCAG